AATCTAATCCACGGTACTCACTGGACTGAATGAGGAACGCGATCAATTGAAAAGTCTCACACAAGAATCGCAACCGGACAAAAGATAAAGCGACATTTAAAGATGAATGATGTGTATAGCTGAGAAGAAAAAGCGCCAAAAAAAGAAATGGCGAAGAAAATTATATACAAATGACGGCGGAGTATTCCCAAAAATTATAATCAAAATTTGTACGCTTAAGCCTTGAGCCTTCTATTTCAATAGTATCTTTTCCTTTTTCCAACAGTTTCTGTTAAACAGTGGTACTTTGCTAGAGTCATCTACCACCACGTTTTCGGTCACTCCTCTTTACGACATTTTTTTCTTTCGCAAAAGCCTCAGTGCCTCGAACACATTTCCAACCAAAATTTTCTTTGAACCAACATGACCGAACCAACGATAAGTTTTTCTGAAACTGGTCCTTTATGCTGACATTACACATCCATTTCAGCAGGCGCATTTCCGCCGAGTTCAGCTGCTGCTCAGTCTCCACAGGGTAGGTAAACATTTCGCTGTTTACAGAAGTACTGATCATTCTGTAAACCTTCACCATTAGTTTAATGGCAATTTTATCACACAACACGCTGTTCAACTCTATCCAGTTTAGCCCGTGCCTTTCAATCGATTTCCTACCTTATCTTGAAGGAAAGAACCAAGGTATTTGAATTTTTGGATTTGAGGCAGCTTGATCCTCGTTATTATCACAAATTCGTTTACCTTGCCTTTGTTCTTCCCGCTGAAACAGCCCGCAGTGTAGTTCTACCAGTCTTTACAAAGCCACAGATCGCTTTTCTCAAGTACACGTATTCATACCTGGGTTGCTTCTACCGCTTGTGCATTTTTGATGCTCAGCGCTGCGTCATTTGCGAGGAGCATGCAGTGGGAATGCTTCCTGCAGATCTCCAATTACCGCGTCTGTCGCATCGAGAACAGACATGGGCTCAGTGCTGAATCTTGACTGATCCCTACTCGCACAAGCAATTTCTGTTTCGCCACTTGTATATATAACTACAGCTGTCACATGCTTCTTTCCCACTCTCCAGCAAATAGTTTGTCTTGACATTTCTCCAGCCTCAAGAAAACCCGTAAAACATGAGCCAAAACGTCAGTACTAGTGCATTATCTCAGTGACCAATTTGTTTGCGTTGTTGTGTATGAATAAACCATGCATTCACACAATTTTCAAAAATTATTATTAAAACTCAGCAAAGTTCTAAAAAACCGATTACAACAAAATACCAAATTGCCAAGTAATTTTATAATAAATTTAGTAACTTTCTGCATAGTAGATACAATTTTGCTCTTCATGGTGGGTTTTTCAATAATAAAAAGAAGCATTACGACACAAGCAGTTTTCCCTTTTCGCCAGTTTTGCATTGATGAATTTTAATCATTATGAACATCTTGAAAGCCTGACTCGGGAAATGAACCCTAATCTATTGCCAAAAATATCTGAACCAACAGTTCCAGAAGTCCTCAGATGCCTCTGCCCGCAATACACTGAGTCAACTGTTGAAAGAGAAATTAATTCCAATCATCCTTTCCTTGATTTCTTAATATCCAACTCTATAAAACTGAAGTACATGTAAGAGCCACCAACAGAAAAACATCAGAATTTTAATTGTCATAAGAAAACGGAAGTTACCGTTTTAATGGACTCAGTTATGAAACTGAACAAGAATGAATTTCTTGAAGAAAGAAAACTACGTAATAACAATAGCTAAATCGAATGTTCGAACAGGCATAGAAGAAGGCATCGATTGATCAATTGTTTGAATAACGGTTAATGGTGTTCGCTGAGCAATCCATCGTTAAGGCAACGATTAAAAATGAAGATGTAGAATCCTTTGCTAATGACGCGCTTCGACCAACCAAACCTACGTCATCATCGATGATTTCACCGACAGGACAATGCAACGCCATTAACAATGACCATCTAGTTAAAATACACGTTGTCAACTACGTTGTTACACCAATCTTGCAAACTATGTATAATTAGCGGTACAAAAATAGCGTGATCCTGCTAATCAAAACGAAACGGCATATTTAGCTAAATAAGTTTGCCCCCCTCAAACAAGGCGGCATCAAGTCGTGTGCAGGTGTCAACTGTAGGGATCAAACGATCCAAAATCCTCATGGAGTGACCGAGCCTCGTCGCGTGCGTTGATAACATATAACAAATATGTAATGTTATCTTTATGCTAACAAACGGAATCTGCTGTGATACCCTTCAAGTATTAAACCTTCAATTTCATCAATATCTTGTCTTAACGTGATTGTCATCGCGTAAACATCTGGTTGTATCTAGTTTTCGATGTGGCATGATCAGCCTATCGACCGTCATGAACTTCATTTTTCATGTCAGTTCCTGGAATTCATATGGTCATCATTCTCTCTTACAACATCTCACGCTTTACGCGCTTAACTGACCTAACACTGTAATAATAAGGTGCTGTCTATTTTCTCTCGATTGACTCAAACTTCTGTCCCTGTTGAGCATCCGAAGTGACTTCTCTCGAAAGTACAGAAGTATCGGTGGTGTTCACTGTGACCATTACCTTAGCCACATCAAGCACTGCAGAAACGTATTCACACACGTTCTAGCCCATCATTCGAACATGACAAGTTCTTTAGCAAACAACAGGTCTCGAACTCAGTCAAGCTTCTTCTTCTGTGACGTTCTACCTGCTTATCAACTTCATCAATAAAAAGGATGAATCTTGGACGTCACAGCCCAATATAACTAACTATAGATCTTATATCACCGCATCGCCCTTCACATCGTCGACCGAGGCACTCTGTCATAAGCTTATCACTTGTCATATGCTACTGAAATGGGCATAAACGTCCTTGGCCTTTTCGCAGTATTTCTTGTAAACTTGGGGTAGAATAAAGATCTGGTCAATGGTGCTTCAACAAACAACAAAAGAATCATATCGCTCGTCTTAAATCTTCAGCTCGATAATTTTTCGGCATCTCTGCTCAGACCTCACCGGGTAAGCATAGCAGATAGATGCCCGCGCAGACGACGCATTCCTTCCGATACTCCGTTTTTGAACACTAGAACAAGCATACCATACTTCTACTCCATATTTTATGAGTTTCACTCCTAAGGGTGAAATAACAAATACAGGTTACTCTTTAACCTCAAATGACGATCCTTTTCCAGAACTTAATAGAACTTGGCATATTTGAGCCAATCACAAATTTAAAGCGTCTCAGATCAGATTTTTTTTAGTCAATCAGCCTTGTCACTTTTCGGTGATTTAACGGCAGCTGTCACTTCAAGGGTCATAGTACTGTCCAAGCTGATCAACCGTTCAATTAATCACATTCTCGCCTTGCCTCTTAATAAACCGTTTTATATTCTTTCCACCGTCAATTCAGCGACTGTGATACCAGTTTCCGCCTCAAAATACAGCAAGGGAAAATTGTCGGCATTTGAGAGGACTGTATTTAAATTTTCAAAGAATTACTCCTCCGGCATCAATGGACAAAAATCTTTCTCACGAATTAGAAGTTTTCCATCCGAACGCTTTAGAGTTCAAGCATGTCCATCTAATGTTTGCCCGACGGACAGTGGAGAGCCGCGGTCAGAAGACATGCCGGTTTGCTGGTCAGTAATCGAAATCCAGTTTTTCTACGAATGAGTCATTGAATTCATTTGCAATTTTCACTGCTTATGCTGCAGCCTTGCAAATATCATTAGAGTAAAGGAAACTTGAAGAGAGTCAGTGTCCCTTAGTGCTTATACGTATTAAAGAAGATATGTCTTCAGAAGTTTGAAATTGAAGTTCGAAGCGTGACGAGGCGCCGGTTTGAAATAAAATTTAATAATTTATTGAAATAAGCTCATAGTTAATATATAGTTAAATTAAAACCAATCCGGAAGGAGCGACCACTGTTACGACCATCGCAAGGACATTGCATCTCACGTGCAAGAAAGGTCAAGTTTGGTGCAACTGTCTCCCCTTGAGCTGACGAACATTACTGAAACGGGTTCGTGGCCTGAGTTAACAGGCGTGACGGACGTTGTTCTGTCAGGCTGTACAAAGGAAATTCATTTTAACACAGGGCAAAGAGAAAACTCATAATCCATCACATACTCTAGCAAGTTTCATTATCGCTTTTTACCAGGTTTCCCCTAGTCAACTTGTCGCCACTGAACTGATACCGGACGACATGATTTTAATGATGCTGAGCTACACATCCGCGCACCTTATATCTTTGCTATGTCGATGCAGACCGAATGTTCCTGTTTAAAGTTTATGAGTTTTTGGCCAGTTTCTTCACAAGTACAACTGAGGTACTATGTCACCTCAGAAGCATCTTGTAGCACGGCTCAACCTCACGCAATATTTGAATCTTCTGAGTATACTTTTCTCTTGTTTGTTACCAGTCACTAGTATGCATAATTGTATCCTGTTCTTGAATTCGAAACACGGCCCTATTCGCAGGTCAGGCCAAATATGCCATTTCCATTGCTCTGCCGGCGTCTTCACATCCGGTTGCCACTTGAGGAACTTTTCTTACTGACAACCGCGAATCGAGATATCGACTTAGCCCAGAGAAAAAACAGGTCGAAATACCCATGCCAGTGTTGAACAACTTTATACTGTTGCTATGTCCAAGGATTAAACAAGTATCTGATTAAATTCCAATATGTCATCCATAAACAATTTTCCGCGCAGATTCATCGTTCAGCTCTTCATGTACTCAGCTATAATCGAAGTAAATTCAGGTCTACCGTTCTTGTTGACATCTTGGACTTTCAAAGAGGCAGACAAGGAGTTAGTAATACGCCGATGTATCTGTCGTTCGTTTCATCTAAACATGCAGCATATTGGAAAAGAGTCAGGTGAAATCATGACCAGACTGATCAGTAATCACTGTTTTAAAATATCGCCGTATCATATGTACTTATGGATACTAATAAAGTGTTGGTCGTTAAGAGCAGGCCGCTGGCAACCATAAATTTTGCACATTCAGAGAAGTCAAAAATTGATCAAGTTAATTTTAATTTCCGGTTCTGACATACGCCATTAATTCGATCATTAAGAAGGTCGATTCGGTGCCAGTCATTCTCCTCAAGGCTGTATGGATTTCCCTCAGGTCTGATTCTTAGCGTGCCTGTAGATCAGGTGCACACAACTGCGCTAGAATCAGGTTTCGCACTCAATCTACCGTTTAGCATACAAATGCTCTCCCACCCCCACTAAACAGTCAGTCAGTTTGAGACTCACCAGTATCGCCATCTTTGCGTATGCTGACAAATCGTTAGATAAGTTTCATAGCTGAACATTCCCATCAATTTTCAAGGTCGAAGACTTGAAACTGTGCGCCTGGTATATCGAATTGGTTGCGGTTTCCTTCTCTATCTCCTGTCAATTTTCAGCCAAACAGCACTACTGCGGTTACAAATGGTCACGTTCCGCTGTTTCCATGCAGGATTATGAGGTCCTTTTCGTGCATTGCATTGCTACAACCGTCTATACTGGCTATGATAATTTTTTGGCCATATTGTCCCACGATATTACCCAATGCCGAATGTTATGCCAATTTCTGTCACGGGTTTACTTTTGATACACCAACAACTGGTGCTCAGAGGTGATGGCATTTCAGCACTGCAAATTTAACATTAATTACAATGTTAACATTAACATTAACGTTAACAATTACAACATTAACAGCACAGAACTGATTTCAGAGATAGGTGTTAACAATGTTTAAATTAGCTTATCATAGCTAAAACACAATCATGAAATCAAGGCCGTTGCAGAAAACAAACTCTTTCGACGTGAATACTGCACTGCAGAAAACGAAAGAAAAGATGGTAACCACTGGAATGTTAGTCTTCCTTACATTTTCATGATTGAGGTATTTCTGGCCCTGATGGGACACGAAACGCGTTTTCATGCCATCGGCCAGAAGTATTTTCGATAGAATCAACAGCAGCTACCACCATAAAACGAGGTTCCGTTTTGTTCCCAGAGAGCAATACTCACTGAAAAATCTAAGAAGGAAGAAAGTGAGTGATCCAACCGCGCCCCCTCCCCCCGACAGAAGCTCGAACGCAGGAACAGTCGGATGAGAGTTCGACGCTTTATCGACTTAACAGTCTGGGATGATCGGTAAAAAATGAGACAATTACGAAACAGAGTAAAAAATTATAGAACAGTTATAACAATATTAGAGAAACTCACCCGCACAATTAACAGAAAATGGACATAATTACATATGCAAGAATATTAATAGGCTCGCAGGAAAAAGTATTATGAGAAATATCATATCTATGGCTCCATCTCCAAAAACAATTTATTACCAATAAAATATTTAGCAATTAGCGGAACAAATAAAATTGAGGAAAAATTGCTTCGATAAAAACTATAAGCCAGTCACTTAGGTCAGCGAACTATAAGAGTGCCCCGTTATAATGAGCAAGTATGGTAACGAGCGGAAATGATTGTCAGGTACGATAGTGCCCCGGGGGCGGGGCAGTTACGGACGCTGAAGTTTTCAAACGGCGCATTATTGAAGGTTCAAAAGATGTAAAGTTGTGAGAATTAGCGACCCAGGCTGACAGTTATGAACAAACGGATAATAGACGCGAAAAATACGATGATTTTTGCCGGAAAATGCAATATTTTAGAGTTTTTAAAGTTAGCGATGTCGTTGGAATGCTGTGAAAAACACTCGAGCTGCCGGTAGTTCATCCGCAAATTTTAATGCGAAAACAGCGAGATTCATCAACTCAATCGCATCTCGCAATGACCTTATAGCATTTGCTTACCTGCATCGAGTGACCAACAGAGGTACAAAGCCGACTGACGTCGCCTCGCATGCACTAGGCGCGTTGACATCATGACCACTGATTCCGAAGCGATTTCGATTTAGCAAAGAAGGCCGGGCTGTACTAACCATTGACCAATCAGCGTTGAGAATCATGTGACGTGCCGTACGTTGATTGGTTGTTGCGAAATCGGTCCCCATTGTGGTCTGACATACGGAGAGCGCGGCCGGCTGGGGTCAGTCAGCATTGGTACTCCACGTTGACCGTGAGAATGGTAAGAAGTGGTAAGTTACCTTGTTTGGCAAGTTCTTTTCTTTTAATGACCCTGTTGAAGGTAGACAAAAGCAGTGGGCAGTTAAGACCGAGTCTGGAAATGATTATGTCTATGCTGGTGTCAAAAACGCTTCTTCGAGGA